TCCTTTCTTCTACTAACTTTGGGCTTAGTTTGTTCTTATTTTTCTAGGTTCTTGTGATGCAATATTAGGTTGCTTATTTGAAATCTTTCTTAATTTTTGATGTACATGTTTATTGATATAAACTCCCCTCTTAAAACTGCTTTTGCTGTATTGCATAGATTTTTGGTATGTTGTGTTTCCAGAATTTTAAAAATTTCCCCTTTAATTTCTTTATTGATTCAGTGATTCTTCAGGAGCATGTTGTTTAATTTCCATGTGTCTGTGAATTTTCTGAAGTTCCTCCTGTTATTGATTTCTAGCTTTATATCATTGTGGTCAGAAAAGATACTTGATATGATTTAAATCTTTTTAAATTTGTTAAGATTTGTTTTGTGGCCTAAGATATCCTGGAGAATGCTCCATGTGCAGTTTAGAAAACATGTATTCTTCAGCTGTTGAATGAAATATTCTGTATATATCCATTAGGTCCATTTGCTCTAGAACGTAGTTTAGGTCCAATGTTTACTTATCGATTTTCTGTCTGGGTGATCTGTCTATTGCTGAAAGTGAGGTGTTGAAATCTCTAATTATTATTATATTACAATCTATCTTTTCCTTTAAGTCTCTTAATATTGCTTTATGTATTTAGGTGCTCCAATGTTGGGTGCATATATGTTTATAATTGTTATATCCTCTTGCTGAATTGACCCCTTTATCATTATATTATGACCTACTTTGTCTCTTTTTACAGTTTTTAACTTAAAGTCTACTTTTTCTGATATAAGTATAGCTACTCCTTGTGTCTTTTGATTTCTATTTGCATTAAATATGTTTTTCCATTCCTTCACTTTCAGCCTATCTATGTGTGTCCTTACAGGTGAAAGGAGTCCCCTGTAGGCAGCAATTGGGTCTTGCTTTTTATCCACTCGGGCTTATGTCTTTTGATTGGAAAATTTAATCCACTTACATTACAGGTAATTATTGATAGGCAAGGACTTACTCTTGCCATTTTGTTTATTGTTTTCTATATCCTTTGTTCCCTTCTTCCATCTCTTGCTTTATTATTTTGCAAGTGATTTTCTTGGCTAAGAAAATCACTGGCTAAGTGATTTTCTCTGGTGATATGTCTTGATTCTTTGCTTTCTTGCATACCTACTACAGGTTCTCTTTTTATGGTTACCATGAAACTTACAAAAAAGTCTCATAGTTGTAACAGGTTATTTTAAGCTGATTAACCGATGATGATGTAACTTCGATTGCAAGGAAAAAAAAAACCTGCTATGCTTTTACTACACTTCCACCTCATTTTGAATTTCTGATGTCACAATTTACATCTTTTTATATTACATATGTCTTAAAAAATTACTGTGGCTATTATTATTTTTAATAGTTTTGTCTTTTAACCTTCATACTAAAGAAATAAGTAATTTATAGATCACCATCACAGTATTAGAAAATCCTAAATTTGTGTGCCGAGTTCAATCGGGAGCGGGAGCGGAGAGCGGACCCCAGAGCGCCCTGTGCAGCCCCACCGCCGCGCCGGCCTAGTTACCATCACACGTCGGGAGGAGCCGCAGCCCAGCGGGCCGCAGTCAGCATCCCCAGCGGGCCGCAGTCAGCATCCCCGCAACTATGAGCAGCGAGGCCGAGACCTAGCAGCCGCCCGCCGCCCCCGCCCTCAGCGCTGCGGACACCAAGCCCGGAGACACGCAGCCGCACAGGGAGCGGTGGCCCGGGCGCCGCCTGCCGGCGGGGACAAGAAGGTCATGGTCATCACAACGAAGGTTTTGGGGACAGTAAAATGGTTCGATGTAAGAAACGGATATGGTTCATCAACAGGAATGACGCCAAGGAAGATGCGTTTGTGCACCAGACTGCCATAAAGAAGAATAACCCCAGGAAGGACCTTCGCAGTGCAGGAGATGGGGAGACTGTGGGGTTTGATGTTGTTAGAGGAGAAAAGGGCGCGGAGGCAGCAAATGTCGCAGGCCCTGGTGGAGTTCCAGTCCAAGGCAGTACATATGCAGCAGACCGTAACCATTACAGACGCTGTCCACGCCGCAGGGGTCCTCCACGCAATCACCAGCAGAATCATCAGAACCGTGAGAGTGGGGAAAGAATGGGGGATCGGAGGGTGCTCCTGAGGGCCAGGCCCAACGACGCTGGTCCTGCCGCAGGCGGAGGTCCCCACCTTACTACACGCGGAGGCCCCGTGGGTGTGGACCACAGCATTCCAACCCTCCTGTACCGGGAGAAGCGGTGGAGGGCGCCGGCAACCAGGGTGCAGGAGAACCAGGTAGACCACCAGTAAGACAGAACATGTATCGGGGTTACAGACCACGATTCCGCAGGGCCCCTCCTCGCCAAAGACAGCCCAGATAGGACGGCGATGAAGAGGATGAAGAGAATCAAGGAGATGAGACCCAAGGTCAGCAGCTGCCTCAACATCGGTACCCCCGCAACCTCAATTACCAACTACCAAGACGCCCAGAAAACCCTAAACCACAAGATGGCAAAGAGACAAAAGCAGCCCATCCACCAACTGAGAATCCCTCCGCTCTGGAGGCTGAGCAGGGGGGGGCTGAGTAAATGCCGGCTTACCATCTCTGCCATCGTCTGGTTTAGTCATCCAACAAGAAATGAATATGAAATTCCAGCAATAAGAAGTAAAAAAAAGATTGGAACTGAAGACCTTAAGTGCTTGCTTTTTGCCCGTTGACCAGATAACTAGAACTATCTGCATTATCTATGAAGCATGGGGTTTTTATTATTTTTACCTAAAGATGTCTTTTTTGGTAATAACAAAGGTGTTTTTTAAAAAAGCCTGGTTTTTCTCTATGCCTTTAAAGGTTTTTAAATTGTTTCATATCTGGTCAAGTTGAGATTTTTAAGAACTTCATTTTTAATTTGTAATAAACGTTCACAAACTTGATTTTTTGAAAAAAGTCAACAAACTGCAAGCACCTGTTAATAAAGGTCTTAAATAATTAAAAATCTGTGTACTTATATTTACTAGTAAGTTTTATACTTTTAGATATTTTTGTGTTACTCATTAGTGTTATTTTCATTTAGCTTTAAGAACTGCCTTTAACATTTCTTGTAAGACAGGTCTGATGGTGATGAATTCTCTTAGCTTTTGTTTGTCTGATATTAGTCATTTCTGAAGAACAGCTTCATGGGCATAGTATTCTTGTCTGAGTGTTGAAATCACATTGTAAGGAGACCATGTGGAATGGAGGATATTGTAGTCATCTTTGGAAAATACAATCTGCTGCAGCCACTAATGTTTTTTGAAATAACGGGGGAGATAGATTGGTGATGGGTAGAAGGATAGACAGAGCAGCCCAACTGTACGCTGCAGAGCTAGCTATGGTTGAGTTAGGCCAAAGATCATATCTGTAGGCTCAAGGCCTATGGCCAGTCTCTACTATGAACATGTGTACACGTGTGTATGGCTGGTCACAATTGGGATGGAGGAGGGAAATTCAGGTAGTATCTTAGTTAAGGTTGCTACAACAAAGTACCATAGATTAGTGGCTTATAAATAACAGAGATTTATTTTTCACAGTTTTGGAGACTGGAAGTCTAAGGCCAGGGTGGCAGTGGGGTCAGGTTCTGGTGAAGACCCTTGGCAAGGTTGCAGACTGCTGTCTTCTTACTGTATCCTCACATGGTGGAAGGAGAGGGAGCTAGCTCTCTGGCCTCTTCTTATTAGGGCACTAATAACATTCATGAGGGCTCCAACTCCATGACCTAATTATCTCCCAAAGACTCTACACCTCCAAATACTATCACATTGGGATTAGCGTTTCAACCTAGGAATTTTAGAGGAGAGACAAATATTCAGTTAGTCACAGGTAGCTTAATGAAACTGATCTTCACTGACAGGTGAACAACCCAGCAACATGTTCTTCTGCCTGTGAGTTGGCAGTGTGCCCATCTTTATACAGAAAGGCAAAGGTGGTGCTAAATGTCTCAAGGTCAAAAGGTGTCAAGTCCTCTTTGCTTATTGGTCAGTCATCTAGAGCAGATGTTTGATTAACCCATGGGATGCTGCATAAAAAGTGCATAGCTTACTTGGAAGTACAATCCTACGTTGCATCTATTTGCTTAGAGCATTGGCTAGATGCTATCATATTTTTAGAATAATTAATTTTGGGCCTGGTTCTCTGAGAAATACAACTCACAGGTTGCATCTTGTATGGCAATTACAGAGGAGCATTATCACCTTTGAAAAATAAAAGAACATTTAATTATTCTTATTTTTTCTTAACATTCTATATCATTTCATATCTATATAGTCTCTTTAGATTGGTTTAAAAGTCAGATGATTTAGTTCAGGCACTCAAAAAGGGCTTGTTCAATTAGCTTAGTACTTACTAAAATCATTAGGAGGTACAAAAGATCTGCTTCTCAACAGCAGTGATGGTTTTCAAAGTGACAAAAGGCTCTTTCATGTCCTAGGGTCTCTCCCTTTCCTAAGAACTACACTTGTGGGACTGACGATGGTAGCTCCTTCACTTCCAAGTGTGTTTGGAGACCTGTTGGTGTGATCCCAAGGCTGAGATGCTCTGCTTTCCAAAGTACTAGAGACCTAGCTCTGGCCACTGACGTTCAGATCCCATCTTCTCTTCATGTATGAAAGTATCAGTCTGGAATTCTAATTTTCTTGTAAACAGTTAACTCTCAAACAAAGAAGGTACATATGTACTGAAATGAATCGAGGCTTGCTGCCAGCCCACTTGGCATTTGCATTTGTGTTCTGGGAACAGTTGGCATGAGATATCAACCAAGTGGCTCTTGAAGATTTAACATGATCTTAAACATTTTCAACATGCCTTAAAAACACAATAATGGTGATTCTGGGCAAGGAGAAGACGGGAGAGAGAGCTAGGGGACTCACAGTGCCACAATACCACCAGTCTCAATGCAGTTTTACAAGCCTCTGACTGGAGAACCTTAAGAATGAAACAGACAATATCGTCAACATTCCCTGGTTGCCGGGAAAGTGACATGGAAGTGCCATACCTGTGAATCCACTGTTTTCCATAGGTACTTTTGTAACAAAGACAGTCAAGTAGGAAAAGAGAGGAAGGGTCTGACCAAGAGGGACATGTATAAGAGACCCTGGAATTGAGCCAATCAAATGACTGAAATATTTGGGTTCTTCTTAGAAGGTATCTATTTATTATTATTGTTATTATTATTTCCTGTTGAATGTTTCCGAAGAAGGTATTTCTAGCCATATTTATTATCTTCCCTTTGAGAAAAGTAGATTTATGGAGTAACGCTAGTTTTACACAGACACATTTATATACACACATGTTCACATATAGTCCTTAAATGTTTCTGTGACATTTGTCCTTGCAGTAGGAAGATAAAAAAACAACATCAGAAAAAGAAAAGAGACTTCTAATGGAAAACAAGCAGGATCCACTCACAGCCTCAACCCGTGCTGTACGAGAAGCCTTGGGTTTTGCCATCTGCTTTCAAGTCCAGGAGTTAGCGATGATGATTAACGTCAGTGTCAGCTTGCCTGCATACAGAATGCTTCATTGAGTTTCCCCAGGTGCACAGCAAACATGACATTTTGCAGCAAGCATAGCACTCCTCAAGTGGTGTGAAAATCCAGAGACACATTGCCTGCCACTGTGTGCATATCTAGTCTTCAGGCTGGAAAGACCCTAAAGAACTCGTGGAACTTGGATCCTGGACATTTGAATGCGTAGGGTCAGTTTACTCATATTTTTTACAAAACAAATGCATTTCAAAAAATGACCTTTCCTAAGATGAGACTAGTTCTTACAACAAATAAGCTAAAAGATATAAGATTCCTTTCCTTCAAACAGTTCCTAGGACAGTTTATCATTCCTCCTTTGTAAGATTCTGGAAAGTGGCATAGTCTATTATTCCCCAAAGCTGGATGGACACTGAAAATTCCCAAGTCTATGGCTTCAAACTAGCCTCTGAGCACTGTCAAAGTGGAGATAATAATACCTTATCATGTAGTTGAAAGAGTTATAAGAAGTTACATATGTAAAGGATCTTTATGTAAATTGATCATCATTGATCATTGCTACTTAAATATGAGGCAGTTCTAACACAGACTTCATAATCAGTATTGTTAGTTTGTTATCTGCATTTGTGGAGAATATAGAAAGAATATAGAATATAGAAGAATGTAGAAGGAATATCAATAATTTTTGCCTTACAGAATGGGAAGATAAAGCTCACAAATATTCCAGAACGATTTCACACATTAGTGGTTTTGAAGGTACTATACAGCGGCCTGAGTGTTTTTCAGCCACATGCATTTGCTTATTATGCCATCAATTCCATAATTTTCAAATGTACACCCCATAAAAATAATTATTAAGAACCCTAGTTTATCTATTACTATTTAAATAATTGGTCCATTTTAAAAGCCATGGTTTTAAATCATGGGCCTGGAAGGAAGAGTACTTAATGTTCTCCTTTTGGAAAGGATACAACCTGCAAAACAATTTTTAAAAATATATTGGATCAGTCTGGCTTGTTGCCTCTGTAAAATCCAAAGCATCCATTACCTACGAACAGGACAAGTAGTGCCTTAATTGCTATGCTGCCAAAATGTCGGTGGTGAGTACAGGGACACTGACCGACTGAACAGAACTGGGATACAAAGCAATGAACTTAACCATCCCATGACAATTAATTAAATTTTTCCTATTATCTGGTGGTGGAATGCCAAATATGAAAACAAAGAACCAACCAGACTCCATCAACCATAAAGCAGTCCCATGACAACTCAACACTTACAGAATTGACTCAACTCTACAGACATATTTCTAATTTAATAATAAGTCAGAACTGAATGAGCCAGGCTTCCTGCTTCCTTCATGTTACCTCTGGGTGTGAGGAACAGAGGGTAGACAGAGAGGATTGGAGAGAAGAGTTAAGAAGAGAAACTGGAAAGTCCAGATTAACGCAGGCTCTACATTTCAGAATATTGATGTGGTCAGAGCCAAGGGTCCTGCAGTAGCCATGACTACTCTATTGACCAGCTCCTGCCCACAGACATCATGTGATTAGACATCTCGACACCACAGTGCAACATCCTTTACCATTATCCTCTAAGTGAGTTTCACTCCATCACCACCACAACCCACACCCCATACTAAGCAGGGGGCAGTAATAAAAAATGGGGGGAATTAAGCCCATTTCTGACTTGCCTTTGCATAAAGCTAATGGATATTTATGATGGGGAAGTTGTTTTATTTTATGATCTCATGAGCTGTTTACATACATGGGCCAAAAAGTACTTTGAAGTCATTGTCTGGGTCCAGGTAATCAAGACTTCTTGGCATCAGCATGACGAAGCTACAGTGTCTGTATCATTTAACATCAAGGCCAGGACCCTTTGGTAGGGAAAGGTGATGCTATTAATAGTTACTTCAGGACAATAGGAATAAAGAGAACCACTTTGTGCCAAGTAGACGTAGAGGTGAGATCCCAGGTAAGTTCTAACTAGCAAATGATGGGAAGGTAAAGATTTCCCACTGTAACTAACACTACCCCACTCATGAAAGAAGATGTAGAACGTCCTAAGACTGAAAAGTCATCAATTAGACAAAGAGCATCGAGTATGTCATCTAGAGAGATGGATGACAATAGGACACAGTCTAAAAGAGGCAAATTGCTTGTATGTGTGTGAACGTGCATGGAAAATTATTTCATTTTCTCACATAAAAACTCACTCTCACTCCTTATAAGAATCTTCCTTTCCAACTTTCTCCCTCCATTTCTTCCCAAACCCTAGTCATAGTGTGAGGACTTACAATGCAATAATGATGGGATCACGTCTTGATCATAAATGATATCAATGAGTAGATAGTCCAGGCAAGGCAAGGGGATTGAATGACCCTGCCCTAGACTCCAGTGCTTCTGGTTGCAAGATTATTTCCACCCACCAAACTAACAAGGTAAGTATCTCAAGAGCGTCGAATATTTTCAAATGTCTTGCAGACCTGTGGCTGGCTGCACCGTATCACATATCAATCCAACCTCAAGCAGGAGCAAGAAGGGCTCAAGAGAAGAAACTGATTCCTTCCCGTGAACCTGACATGACATTCACTAGCTCCAGGCTAACACTCTACCAAGACAGTGTTTCCTTTTGAAGGCTTCAAAGCAAGAGAATAAAAATATCAGAAGATGAAGTCAGACACTTTACTTGCAGAGGCCAGGAGTCCCATGTTCTTCCATTTTTAAGAGAGAGAACGCTTTTGGGGAAGACAAAAGGGAAGTGTATCCAATTAGAAAGGACACTGAAAGAAAGGGAGAGAGATGAGCTAAGAATCTTAGAAGGAAAGGGCTTTATCACTCAGGTTTATGATACCCACAGGCATCCCACCATTCTGTAGAGTCGACTATGGCAGGGTTTCACATAGGCCCTCATAGTTTTCTGGGAAAATACAGGAATCTGTACATATATTGAGTAAGAAATATGAGTGATTTCAGGGCGTGCTAAAGAGATAAAACAAAAATTTCTAGCAAATTGGTATTAACTGATCAACACCTAAATGGACATATAGGAATAACATTTATGGAGTGTCAGGCAGGTGGGAGGGGAGAGGAGGAGATGGGTACATACATACATAATGAGTGAGATGTGCACTGACTGGGGGATGGTCACACTTGAACCTCTCACTTGAGGGGGGGGGCATGGGCAATTTGCCTTAACATTTGTACCCCCATAATATGCTGAAATAATAAAAACAAAATTAAATTAAATTTAAAAAAATTCTATAGAAGGCCACAAGGTAGATTCACAGAAATCATAATACCTTTGTCAACTATTAATGCAATTAGTCCCATTAAAAATATACCCTATTCAACCATTAATGGAGTCGATTTGTATACCCTAGAAGGCCTTCTCAGCCTTGAAATACTGATTCAGAATTCCAGCAAAGGGCCCACCATGGTGGTGCAGTCCAGCCTTGGCTGCACTGGAGCAGTTCTGCACCTTCACCTCCTCCAGCTCTCTGCACTCTCCCTCCACTTCAGAAGTAGGGGAACTAACCAGATGGTAGAACGTGACCTTCCCCTGTCTATATGCTGAAGGTTTCTAGATTTTCATAATGCAAGGAAAGAGAAACTCAGGCTCAGAATTCAGTTCTTCCATTTTACTGGCATCTTAGAATCATAGCATTATTGTCTATCAAAATTGGAGGAGGCCGGGCTTGGTGGCTCACACCTGTAATCCTAGCACTTTGGGAGGCCGAGGCGGGCGGATTGCTCAAGGTCAGGAGTTCGAAACCAGCCTGAGCGAGACCCCCTCTCTACCAAAAATAGAAAGAAATTAATTGACCAACTAAAAATATATATACAAAAAATTAGCCGGGCATGGTGGTGCATGCCTGTAGTCCCAGCTACTCGGGAGGCTGAGGCAGTAGGATCGCTGAGCCCCGGAGATTGAGGTTGCTGTGAGCCAGGCTGACGCCATGGCACTCACTCTAGCCTGGGCAACAAAGTGAGACTCTGTCTCAAAAAAAAAAAAAAAAAAAAAAAATTGGAGGAGATAATTTTCTTCATTTAACCTCTCATTCCACAAATATAGGAGCCAAGCAATGGGAAAGAGACAAGACCAGTCAAAGTTCAAATGCCTAGGCTGAGGGTGAGTCAGGGACTAGAATCCAGGTTTCCTAATGCCCCACCCAGTGTTCTTTCTATTTTAGCACATTTTTCTCTGTATCATTACTTATATTCTTCCCTGGTGTTTTATTTAAGAAGTAGGAAAATTGACTGAAACCTTTTTTACTATTTCCATGAAGGTCCCAGAGGTAGCTATAATGCTTTCTCTCTTGTTAGTGTTTTTTGATGGTGCACAGTTTAAGTACTTAGGTGGCCCACTGACACACCTTCCTAGAACCCATAGATTGATGTGAAAGCCCCTGATCAAGAGACCTCTTTTTTTCTAATTTGATGCTTACATTTTTTTTCCTACTATAAAGCCTATTGCTATCAGTAAACAAAATTTAGATATCAGTGCCTTGAAGCCTGGCAAGGTTACAGTTCTATTCATCATTTAGGGCTTCCCGCTAGTAGGAAATGTATTCAGGAGACAACAAGAACAGATGAGTAAGAATCTCAAAGGGAAAAGAAATAAATAGTGCAATTAATGTGTTCTGAAACCAAAATAAGAAAATCTACTTTGAATAAGCAACATCACAAGGATATAGGAAATTTTTTTTTGGCTGAAAGGAGAACATTTTACATCTGATTTCTCTGACAATGAAGTTTTCAAGTCAAAAAATGCTAAGGGGTTAAGAGATAAAGACTGCTTCTCAGAACCTTATGTTTATGCATGTTTTTAGGTATTTTTAGGAATCTGAAGGTAGACAAAGATTATGAGGAACAAATTTAGATGTTTTGTTTCACACAAAGAATAAAGTGATTAGAACTGAAATTAATTAGTATGGAGGTGGAAGAGGGGGTGTTTATCAAGCCATGGAAGTTTCCTGATAGATTTTACTACTGTATAATCTTTTTATTAACTTTAGAAAAATGACTGATATGCTGGCAGGCACAGAGGGATAAAAACAAGACAAAAAGACCAAAGTTGGAATGCACTGGGATGGGACTGGCTCAAAGAAGCCTGCCCCAGGCATGTAGATTAGAAACCAAAAATGTTTTCAGAATGGTTGCTGTGTTTTCATTGCACAGTGAAAGAATTTCTTTGCACTTGAGAAAAAAAATCCCTCTAAAATGAACCACATGTACTGTATCTCTCCAAATGTGTATGTTCCAAGGAACTCCTGTGTACACAAGCAAAGAGAACCCAAATGTTGAACAAGCATACATGGATTAAATGAAACTATCCTGTTTTCCTCCACTCACTCCTTCACCCACCATTGTCCCTGGACAACTTTCTTGGATGTTATCATTCTGATAATTGCCTCTCTTTCTCCTGACATGTGTCTGGGTAGAGACTATTCATGCTTCCAGAGAATCAGCTTGACTGAGGGCTTTAATATCTCTCATAACACTCAGCATAACACAAGGTTTCAGAGAAATGGATTTTATTATAAGTTCTGCCAAATGAACACAAACACATGGATCTGTTTGCATTGTTTTAGGTGGTTCAGCTTTATAAATGAGAGATTTCTGTACTTTTTGCCAGCTAGATATTATTCATAGGGCTCAAAGAAGACTTTTTCTATACTAAGTCTTATGTTGGAGCAGGCCGTTTTAGCAAAGACCTTAGTATAATTAAAAAAATCAAAAGATGGCTAAATCACAAAGCAATAGAATGTTCTAGTTACTGGATATTCTATGGATGTAAAATTTACCATGCAGTTAAGGTAGAAGAACATGCAAAGCAGGAGCTTCTACAGCTCAAACTGGTACCCCAGCATTGGTAGAACACTGACCCTCATTTCCTTTATCTGATGATACTAATTCAAGTGTTTGCATTTTATCATTGATCATTGTCTTCATGAATGAGTTTGAAACAGATAACCATCACGAGAAATGCATAATCAACATGCCTCTTGGAATAGTTTTGGTGTGATTTCTGCCAATCACATTTCTTCCCTTCAAGGTCAACTCCTTTCTTCTCAGAACACACAGGCCCCAATGGGAAACGCCCTTCTCCGAACTCTCAGCTCCTTCAGCTTTAACCTTCATGAAATTATTGTTCAAAGGGCTGCCTTGTGACTTTTTTCTGCATTCTTGCCTTGTAGAATTAGTCAACTTTCCCTATCTCTTTGTCTCATCTTCCCAGCTAAATATTAAATCAAGTTCTCTATCAAAGAGTAGTAGTTATTTTCCTTTCATCTTTCAGGCCAGTTTTTGGACACAACCTTAGTGGAATTATATATTTTAAAAGCATATAAAAAGCAAGGTAAACATACAGAAAACTTGCAAAACTCACATAAGCTCTGTCCTACTCAAGGCTCAGTGAGTCCACAAGGAGAAAAACACCCTAAATCGACATGATTCACTGGGTTCACACAGCAGGAGAACCTATTTATCCTCTGTGATTGCTTCAAAAGAACTTGCTTAAGATAGGTGTTATATAAATCTAAGAGATTCCTGGTATTGCAATGCAGAGTGCAGCCTAATGAAATTCTTAACTGTTAAATACCTTTATTGATTCCAAAGAATTCATCAGAGAGAACTAGGGTAATAAGGTACATTAACACTTTCCATGATGCATAATCTTTTTCAGGAAGCTTCGATACCCTGAAGGCCCAAAGCCGAGAAAAATAATTTGTTCTCCAGTCTCCTGTGACTTTTCTCCAAGAAAGAAGGCAATTTTTCTCAGCCAGGTTTGCATTTCACTGACTGTTTGTTTTTCATATCCAAGATGTTATTATTGTATTAATCTTCTGCTTGCAAACGAATGTGCAATATTTAGAAGAGTTTATTTTTGTTGTTATTCTTTAAATAATGCATGTTGTTTCTTCACAAAGCCTGAAATAAAAAGAAACTGCTTAGTTCTGATTGCATTAGACAAAATAGGAAAATTGATAAGCCCTAAATTAATCCAATCCACACCAGTTCTCCCAGCACTGGGTCTAACCAGTTGCTCTTTACATAGAAGTTTAAGCCATAGAGATCAGGGGGTACCAAAGAGGTTGATAAGCTTGGAATTCCCTGGGACATGATAAGGTTCCTGGATTGAAGATTGATAGGGGAGGCTATTTATCCAGGTACTTACTCAATCATACAAATTTTATTTTTTTGTTGTCTACCATTTGCCAACCACATTGCCATAGCTATGGACATAGACAGCAATAACCCAGATCTGGTTCTTGCCTTCATGGCGTTTACACTCTATTTGGGAAGCAGTCATAAATTCATACATTATGCATGAATAGTACACCAGAGGTTGAGGCAGAAGCAGGGTCTAAGAGGGTGTGCTCTTATCCCTGTGTTCTCTCTTTAGGCCCTCCAACTTAATCCATAGGTACTTCGGTCTTCTAAACCATCATGGTGGAAATCATGTTGAAAGTTAGGCAGGAATAATCTTGGAAAGAACACTTTGGTGTTACTAAGTGGCAGGAAGAGATACTGAGTTCTGAAAGCTAGATTTTTTTACCCTAGCTCTGCCATCCTGGATAATTCATCTCTGTCTTGGGGACTTGTATAATCAGGAGATCTGGCTGGGTGATTAGGGAGGTTTCTTCCAGGACTAAGATTTTCTGTATCAAACCACGATTTTTATATTTTATATTTTCTCTTGGTATCCACCTTCCTAGCAGAGATAATGGGTGACAGACCTTGAACAAGGAAGCCTTCTTTAGGCATCACCATGAGCTCCAGTTGACAGGTACTAGGGGCCATGCCAAGTGCTGGGGAAACAAGCCCTGATTAAGATATGAGATAGTCCTTGCCTTCAGCAAACTTCAGCCTAGCTGGGAAGACTGAGACAGATAGAAAGGTGTGTCAGGACTAGGTGGTGCAAAGCATCATGAAGGAGGAATGTTCAAGGTCTGTGGAGCACAGAGGAGGCTCACCTGTTGTTTATTGGACCATCTGTCTGGGCTTCCACATCTCAGCTAGGGGACTGCCTGGGGCATCCACTAAGGCTCACCTTCATCTTGACGTGAAAAGAATAACAGAATGATCAGGCCCACCCTGTGGGGTGAAAACATGCTGTCTGGGATACAGATGCCTAGTCTGCTATCCAAGCAGCACCATTAATACCAGGGCTGCAGACCTCTGGGCTTGTGTTGGTTAATCTCCCACCTGGGTCCATGACCTTCTGCTCCACTCTCACTATATAGATGAACTGCCTTCTCCTTTGACTTATTTCTTTTCACTGTGTTTGTCTCTCTTGGTCAATTACTCAGGCTCAGCCTCTTGGAGACAGCAAAGATCTATCACTCCCCTTGGAGATAGCCAAAATTTGTCCCTCTTCTTAAAGATTGTTGATACCTATCACTCTCCCTGGAGATAACCAAGATCTGTCACTCTCCTTGGAGATAGATGAGACCTGTCACCTTCTTTGGCCTCACCCCATACAGCAAATTGCCAAGTTCCAGCCAAGCTCACAGTCCCCCTACCCTTCACTTTTTTTTTTTAGCATTCCCACTTGTCCCAGTCCTGCACTATCATAGTAGCCTACTGTGTCCCCTCCAGTTTTCTCCCTTCTCAGTACACCTTTTGTGATGCACGTGGAATTCTTCTTGGGCTGTAGCATTGGCACATCTGCCCTAGTGCATTACTAAAGGAATCTTGGGGTCCTATGTCTCTCCAGATGGTCACACAGCACTAAACACGTAGCCTTGGGTCAATGGATGTCCATTAAAGGTCTGGAAGAGACCTCAGTGAGCCCATCTGTGCCACCAACATTTCTCTATTACATACCTCCTCCTCTCCAAAAGGAAACTTGACTTCTCTGCAGAGCCTTGAGGCATCTGTGGGCACTAAAATAGAAGCAGGATAGAGGATAATTCAATTAAATGAGATAATGTTGAGAAGGGCTTTACATGGAGACTGATCTGAAATTGATGCTCAGTGACTTGGTCACTCTACTTGAGAGGTCTGACCTTCTTTGAGATCCTTTAGTGTCCTTCCTGTTTCCTGACCTTGTCACAAGCCATTCCTCCTGCCTGGAACGATCCCCCTCTCTTCTGCCGCACTAACTCTAATCCATTATTCAAGCCTCCTCTTAAGAGCCACTCTTCTGACTTCTTCATTTTCACTTATGTCATCCTATTACATGCCATCATAGCTGCCCTCATACCCACTGCCTCCTCGTAATAATTTTGTGTTTACCTATTTGTCTAATGACTACCTCTCCAACAAAGCTGCAAGATCCACAAAGGCAGGGACCATGGCTATGGACCTTATCACTGTCTTTCTGGAACTCAGTGCCTAGTAAGTGCTCAGTAAATGCTTGGTGACAGAATGGATGCATAAATTAAAAGGACAAATCTTTTCATGAGCATGCTATGTTCTAAACTTAACTTTCAATTTTTCACATATAATATATTTCATTGTAAACTGAAATTCTTTGTTTCAGAAAACTCCAGGAAACCTTTTCCATTCTTCAGTCTTTCCCCCATTTGTTAGTGTTCTGCTGGTGTTTGGAGCAGTATTTTTCACAGCATCTCTCTCTCGACCTTGATCCATTACCAGTCACTTAGGAAGCTCTTCTCTATGCTTTTCCCCGAGTACTTTATCAAAGGTTAAAACAACCTTTTTTTAAAATATGAGCTTTTATTGGCAATTTATTTCTCTAATTGACAGAAATTAAAATATGAGCCGCAAATTAGCCGAGTTTGATCCCAGGTACAGAGATTGACATGAGTAATCCCTGTAATGCTGTCTTAATTGCTATCTGCTCGACTCTGTGATTAGGAACGTTACATTATTTATTTACCCATTGATGCTAATGTCAGAACCAGAACCAACCAACAGCTCTTTACATTTCCACTCCCAAATGCTCTCTGCTGCTCCTCTAGATTCAGACTTTAGGCCAGGATGCCTTATGTGGGGTTTCCAAAGCCTATTGGGGGGCAGCATTTCTCCTTCAGAGTAGGCTGGGAAGGAGGAGGGGCCCTGGGTTCTGAAATGGTGGGGAAAGTGCAGCTCATTTAGAGCAGCAATGAGGGTCAATGTGACTTTAAACAGCAGGTCCACAATGTTTTGGAAGAAGAATGGCTTGGCAAGTCTGAGAGATTAGCTGGCTTGACAATAGGACCAGCCATAGATCGAATCGTGAGGTGGGCACGCATCACCTGTGGCATCCCCTCAACAGGAGCCTAGACCTGTGGAAGAATCTACCCAAGTCCACAATTGGAGGGGACCCTAGTTTTTTCTGTTCTTTACTCTTTATCAAAATTTTCTCTTAGGTGCTAATTTCAGGGCCCACCCAGGCCTCTATTATCTGATAAGAAAGCAGCGGGCAATGGTGAAAAGTGCAAGGAATTTGTTGTCCCAGGGACCTGGATTTATATTCCAGCTGACAACCACGAGGCCTTTAGCAATATCTAATTACCTTTTTGCTGAACCGCAGTTTCCTCATATGATACCTGGGACAAGCAAGAACTACCTCATAAGGTTTTATGCGGTACAGACTAGACTCAATAAAGCATTACTTTCCTTTTATTTATAACTATTGAAGGCTTCATCAGTTAGCTTCAATATTTGCATTTTAACAAGAGTTTTTTTTTTTTTATAAGAAATGATATTTCAGTAAAAGCAGTTACTAAGTGCTGGTGAAATTTCAGATGCTAGAAACCTCTGTGTGTGTGTGTGTGTGCATGTGTGTGCATGTGTGTGTGATTGTGTTTATGTTGAGGAACAGGGTACTTGGGTCCGATATGCTAAATTGAATTACTGGTCTATGATCTTCATTCCTCTGCGATCGACTTTTTCATCCACTTTCTTGTCATGCCTGATGGAGCCAGCAACTGGGCTTTTGGCATTTTTTTCTTAGAAACTGAGCATCTCTACCCCTGTACCTACAACTCCATCAAATGATCTCATCTCTTGGTTGCCCCAGGCCAGGGTCTATGTGTAGAGTCCTGGTGCCCATGCACACTTCTTGCTTGGACCACTTTGATTATTTTCAAACACATCATCTCACCAATTGAGATATACTTGTTTCTTGAATCTTCATTATTGATGATCTGGTTCTCTCTATCGTTCCTTGACGACAAGGTGTGACAAGTTATCAGTTGTCTTTATCTTTCTATACACCTCTTATCGTGCAAAACTGTGTGATCAGCACAGACATTCAGTAGGTGGCCCTTTATGGCACTGCATTTCAAGTCAACTATGTTTCCAGTAGACTTATCTGCACAAAGGACCTATTACTATTTTTCTGCTGTGAAGACTGGTGAATGCTTTGTAATTAATTTTTTTTTTTTTTTTTTTGAGACAGAGTCTCACTTTGTTGCCTAGGCTAGAGTGAGTGCCGTGGCGTCAGCCTAGCTCACAGCAACCTCAGACTCCTGGGCTCAAGCAATCCTTCTGTCTCAGCCTCCCAAGTAGCTGGGACTACAGGCATGCACCACCATGCCCGGCTAATTTTTTCTATATATATTAGTTGGCCAATTAGTTTATTTCTATTTATAGTAGAGACGGGGTCTCACTCTTGCTCAGGCTGGTTTTGAACTCCCGACCTCGAGCAATCCGCCCGCCTCGGCCTCCCAGAGAGCTAGGATTACAGGCGTGAGCCACCGCGCCCGGCCTGTAATTAATTTTTAAACCACTGAGAGGAGACTTAGAAAGGGAACAAATATTCAGGATTTTTAAAAGGTGGGTTAATTAAAAAATGGCATCTTTGTCAGAAAGATTACATCTACATGTTTAGAACAGTTACAAAGTTTCTAAACATTCAAGAGGTCATTTGACAGAACTCACTACACTCCAGTTAGCCCCATTAAGGTAGCTGAATATTTAGTTTGCAATTAAAGTTTTGTTGGTGAGGTCGGGCACGGTGGCTCATGCCTATCATCCTAGCACTTTGGGAGGTTGAGGCGGGCCGATCCCTCAAGGTCAGGAGTTCAAAACCAGCCTGAGCAAGAGCGAGATCCTGTCTCTACTAAAAATAGAAAGAAATTAATTGGCCAACTAAAAAAATATATATAGAAAAAATTAGTCTGGCATGGTGGCGCATGCCTGTAGTCCCAGCTACTCGGGAGGCTGAGGCAGGAGGATGGCTTGAGCCCAGGAGTTGGAGATTACTGTGAGCTAAGCTGAGGCCATGGCACTGTAGTCTGGGCAGCAGAGTGAGACTCTGTCTCAAAAAAAAAAAAAAAAAAAAAAGTTTTGTTGGTGAGAAGAAACCATGAGACATCTCAATGCAAAGCTATTCTAGGATTACAGTGGGAAATCAACCAACAACTTCCAGGAGGTTTCCTCTGCCACTTCTTATTATGACTTGGAGTGTTACCTATTTTTCAATAGCATTGAAACAAGGATGCTCACTGTGCATCATCTGTGAGTGCAGCACTGTGCTAAGGACTTCAGGAGAAGCAAAAGTATATGATATGGTTCCTGCCATGTAGGTGATTACCACTTATGGGAAAGTAAATGTCTACAATGAAACAAGCAGGGATGAAATAAATTGAGAGCAATAATTGATTATGAAATTACATGATGGCACAACTAACATATCACTCATATTTAACAAGTATCAGCATAGTTTGTTTCTCCTTTTGTTCTTGAGAAATAAAATACTACCCATGGTATTGAAGCCCTCACTCATCACATTCCTCTCTGACCCCAGAGGTGGCCACGGTTCTGAATTGGGTGTGCATTTCTCCCAGCCATAGTTTTGTACTTTTACTATATAAAAAAACATATTAATTAAAAAGTATAAAGTCTTATTTTAAATTTTTACACACCACCATACTCTCTATATTTCTTCACTATCTCCATTTCTGAATCAACATTGTTTTAAATTCACACATATTGATATATATTTTTAAATGTCACATATTTCTCATTTTATTTAAGTACTATAATAAATTATGTGTGTGTGTATATATATTCATCTCTTGTATTGATTGACAGTAAAGCTATGTGATTTTTATTTTTCTATTGTAAACAGTTTTATAATGAATATATACTAGAATATATCTCAGTGTTCATTTCTGAGAATTTCTCTAAGGTATATGCCTGGAAATGAAATTGCTGAATCACAGAACAGTTGCAATTTCAACATCCTATTTATGGATATGTTGTATCTTTCTTTTTATCTAGATTCTCATCTATTTCACTAAAGTCTTACATTCTTCTTTACATTTTCCCTACTGTGTTTCCTGGGGCCACCTCAAAAGTCAACCACTTGCAATTGACTTTGTCTGAACTCACGCTCTGCTTCTCAGAATCCCAAGCATTGCCCATAGCTTCATTGTCAGGAGGGAAAACTTCAAGTCCATCAGGATTTGGTCAAGAATTGTCCAGATCTCTAAGTTTAATTTCAACACATTGACCTTGTAGGGCGTGGCTGATGCCCTGGAGTAGGCACGATGGTTCCTGTTCGGGCTTCAGACCTAGAACTCAGGAGGAGCAGGTGCCCCCTGAAGACACTGCTGCCAGAGGAGCTGCAGAGGCTGGCTGTAACTCCCCAGAGCTGGATGGAGCCCCTCCACACAGCTCAGACCCTGGCAGAAGTCAGGGGTACCTCCTTAGTGACATCAGATTATAAAACAAGAGTCACAGTAGAAAGGAATTTAGAGAAAGTTCTTGTTAGACCCCAATCTACTTCAGAGTTCCTTTGTTACCCTCATTCTGTTCCCAACATATCACATGGAAAACAGTGACTTCTACGGTGATTTGGCAATTGTCAGATAAGTGAGTTGTTTGTGTGTACACAAACCATGGTGGAAAAGATGAGTGGCATTTATTGGATATTGGGAAGAGAGTGGGATTCAAAAGGTCCACTCCTAGAGCCACCTCTCAACCAGATTTACCAGATACAGAGGCTGAGGTCTGTAACTTTCCTTAATTATTTTCTTTGTAACAGAACTGAAATAGAATCCCTCATCTCCTCCCATTAGAGCCAGGGTTCCTCTCAGTTCCCCATTTTATCTTTCCTCTCCCCCAAGCTATCCTCTGTAGTCTCCAATCTGAGTACCTATAATCTGTAACCAGCATCTCTTTTGTTTGGCACCTCTTCCTGTGTTACCACTGTGGGTGTCCACCTTGCATATTTTGGGCATTGAATCTTGAGATTCAATCCTGGTGGTCTTTCATGCATTGCATATAAGATGGCTGTTAGATTTTAAGCCACTCTGCCAATCCTGTCCTACTGCTTCTCTGGGCAGTCTTTCAGCACTAAACCAGTAGGAATTGGAATGGTGAATACATAACACCAGGAGGAGGAAACAATGAACCAACCCAGTTTATTTATTCATTAGTGACAAAGTGCTAAGAAGGATGCTGAGGATGATAGCGAGACCAGAGTCAGGCCTCTGAGGAAACTGGATGGGGGAAGAGAGACCACACTTTCTCAGTGTCAGCTCAGGGTCCTCCCTAGGAAGTGGATTACAATGCTTCTCATGGGCATTTTGGCATGCAGAATCTTGGTTAAAGGCAAGTCTACTCCTGATACTGCCTGTGGTTTCCTTCAGAGCTCAAGTGCTTTTTCATCCAATAATTCTCCCCAGATGACACCCTGGTTTTATGCACTGAATGTCTATTTCTCTCATTTGTCAAAATTTCATACTCTGTCTCTAGACCTCGTGCAATATTATTGGTTGGTATTATATTCTCACTGGTATACTCTCAATCTTTTTTTTTGTAATTATTTATGCCTTGATAACCAAATAAGAATACTCTTTCTTCTAAAGCAGGTTACTCTATTCTATACTTGTACTAGTGGGGTCTTCAGTTGCAAAGCATAGAAATGGACTTTGGCTAATGTAAGCAGAGACAGAATAGTAGTAGAAGGATATCAGGAACTCCCCAGAATCAAAGGAAAGACCAAAGAACCATGCCCAGGTGGTGGAAAAGGTCAACAGAGGCGGGGTTGTGGGGAGTCCAGGAGCAGGCTGTTTAGGGCACCACCAGTCACGATGGGCCCAGTACTTGAGCCAATCTCTGCAGACACAAGTTAGTTCTCAATAGGATTCCAAGAGCTAGGAGCATCTGATTGGCTGACTCTCCTCCAGGTACCCCAGATTCTGGCTTTCTGCCAACCAGCCATGCACAGTCTGCTTTTGCTTAGGTACTTCTAGTTCCTTCTGCAGCAAGGACACTCACTCTATCAAAGACTGTCGGAGCCCTGCCTGTGTCTCCCTATCCTTGCCATTTCCATGTACCAAGTAGATGGTCAACCGCCAGCCCCTGCATTTCTATCTCAAGGACGTCCTCTCCTTGCTGTGCCTGCCATGCAGCAGCCAAAAGTGCTGCTGGAGCAGCCCTCAGCCCATGGCCGATGAGAGCAGGCGCATAAATACCCCAGCTCCCTTGCCCTTCAACTGGGATGATGCTGAAGTGCGTGTCTTACACCAGCTCCTAGCTTTCCATGGAGACATCGGGTCCCAGCTGCCACAGAGGTGAGCGGTGCCAGAGCACACCCTGTGTGAGCCACTGTCCTTCCCTGGCTCACTCTTCCACGCCCCACTGTGCCTCCCCCACCTCCCAAATAATCCACTTGCAACCAAATCCTTGCTTCATGGTCTGTTTCTGGGGTAACCCAGACTAAGAAACCCATCCCAACTGTGCCTTCTCCATTAACAGTCTCCTCAGTCTTCAAGGCCAGGGATGAGAATCCACCTAATGTGTCCAAATCAAGCCAGCAGAGCCATGGCAATGTTTACAATTTCTGGTTTTGAGTACCCCTGGGAAAGGCATGGACACCAGAGCTTGGAAGAGTCTATACCACGTCCCGCTGCCTTTCTGCTGACAAGCACATTTACACTACTCTCCTGGATGGTGAAGCTCTTGTGTTTGTGACCTTTGCTAAGGCTTAGCTCAAATAGAAACCCTTAGTGAAAACTTCCATGACCACTGAGGCTGAGTAAATCCTTGCCTCCCCTGGGTCTCCACAGTGATATACAAGATACAACGCAAAATATGTGCCTCCTTCTGCATTTTTCCCCATTGAGATGAAACTCACAAAGCATAAACTCATTAACCATTTTAAGGTGAACAATTCAATGGCATTGAGCATATTCGCTGTGTTGTGCAACTGCCACCTCTACCGAGGTCCAAAACATTTCCAGCTCCCCAGCAGAAAACCCTGTGTATTTAGGCAGTTACTCTCCATTCCCCACTCCAGGGCCTCACTCACTGGCAGTTACCAATCTGCCTTCTGTCTCTGTATTCTTAGCACTAGGCATGTAGTCAGCACTCAATCAATCCTTTTGGGTGAGTAAATGATAGTTTGTTGTGAGAAGGGGTGGGAGGTAGGACAGCAGCATCTTCACGTCAAGGCACCCTCTGGTGGAGAGGATCCCTCTTGATTTATCGTCTCCGTAGCTCAGCAATATTCCTAAGCTTTTGTGCCTCAGTTTTCTCACCTACAAGTTGAGAACAATACTAATATCTCCCTTAAGAAGTTGTTATGACAATTAATTGAATTAATATGCAGAAAACCCTCAGAACAGTGCCTGGCCTGGAGAAAGCCAGTGGAGTGTGTGTTAAATATGACTAAAATAATATTGTTTTGATGTTGGAGTCTCCATCAAGTTCATCTTCCAAGAGAGAATCAGAACAAAACTCCAAGGCTAGAAAACTGCCAAGCTGAGATGGAATGGCTCTCCAGAAAAAAAGGACATTCTGGTTGTGTTTGCTTTTGAATAATTGTCTGCTTTCTTATTCTACTCCCACTACCCTGGACACTTCACTCCACCACCCTTTGCTACCCCAACACCCAGTCTCAGCTTTGACCTTGAATTCAACCGGAATGCAAGTTCCAGGAGGGCAGAGGTCACATCTGCTTTGTGCATCTCCCTGTTCCCTACCCCTAGCATGTAATCAGACTCAGTGATTGTCTGTGGAATAAATAAATACATTCACACACAAAATGATCTATCCTTCCAGCCATGGAATTTCAAAATGCTTTACCTCCCTGCCCCTTCACTGCTCTTTCTGCTTCAAAAGGAAGCTTTTCAGAGCGTAAGAGCTCATGCAAGGCCTGCTCCTCCCTTGGCTTCTGTCTGTACCTGTTCAGGCCTCCTCTTGCCACACCTGCCCTTGGTGGGGAATAAAGGCAGTGGGGACCCAACTCTGATCCCTGGTGTTCTCTGCTGTGAGCCAATCTCTCCGCACTGCTTTATGTCCCATCCAGGCCTCAGCCTTGACATAAAACTCTCCAGTTCTATATAATAATGGTCATAATTAATAATAAATGAACAGGCTAGGGAATTGCAGAGCAGAATTTAGTGGCTGGAGATTTACACAGCTGCATTCGGTGCCAATGTAAGATGTGGATATGGAAAAAACCCACAGAGCTATCATTTCAGAGCCAGGACTCTGCTAATAAGCACCATGAACCCAGCAGCTCACAGCCTTGTAGAAAAATCACATTTGGAACCACACATTTTCCTGGGTGCAAAGGAGAGCAGGGTATTTTTATCTTCTTGGTCTCTTTTCCTCTAGATCAGGGTTAGGCTCCCAGAGTCCAGGTGATTTATGTGGGGAAAGGGAGAAATGTGAACATGAAGGAAAGGCTGGAGAAGGAATTTGGACATACAGAAGGAAAATGAAATGAGGACATCATGTACTTTTGAGAGAATTGTTGGAACCAGTGGGTCTCAAAGAGATGATAAAGACCTCTTTCCACAGAAAGCAAACACAAATGCACTGTAGATGCATGATTGGGGCAAGAACCCTGGAAGCTGCTTAGCTCAGATGCTCTAAATTGGCCCCCACTGAGTGCAGTGGGTGAGCTTTTTCATACCATCCAATCCTTCCAGACCATGCTCTGCTATAATTTTAGTCCAATTCCTCCAACTTCTCCCAAATCTTGATTTTTTGACTTGGCTGATCAACTGCCCATAGGTGAGAGGAGGCAGAAGATGAATAACATAATGTTGCTTATAGGATTCCCAGACAACACAGACAAAGAGTTGAGCACAGTGGCTGACAAGTAGCAAGCACTTAATGACTGAGAGTCATCACCCTGGCATCCCAGCTCAGGGATGCCTCCTAGGCATGGGTTGTCCCATTGGCTCTACCTGAAACAAATTTCAGATTCAGGACTCTACCAAAACATGCCAGGTAACTAGCAGCTCACAGCCTTGTAGGAAATCACAGTTGTCACCATACAGTTTTCTGGGAATAAAGGAGACTATCCTTGTCCTTCAGGTATCATTGTCCTTAATTTATAGAAGGTGAACTGAGGCTTCAAGATGTTAATAAGCATGACCAAGATAACAGCTTACAAATGGCAGAGCCATGGTTTGAACACAGATGGGTCATTTCCAAAGGCCAAATTTACTTTCCCCTACCCTACTCCTTCCCTGAACTTCAGCCTCAGCTCTCCTGGGGCTCCAGGCTAACATGTTCTTCATATGAAAAAAGGGAAGGTGGTCACTAGAAACCCTTAGGGGCTCACCAGGTCAAAATCCATCAGACCAAATACAATTCTTTCTAGTAAGTGATGGATGAAGGAGGCACCATAGATGTATGCATATCTTATATGATCCTAGATGAGGAACCATA